AGGCTAGTATCATAAAACCACATCATAAAAGCCGTTGGCAGATCTGGAAAAAGCTCTACCTGTCGATGGGTGTCAAAGTTTTTCATCGAAAGCATCGGCTGGCACTAGAAAGTAAAATTAAGGCCTTGACAACGGCGCCGCTGCAGAATAGGTCAGCAGAAATAGCTGCTGCATATCGAAAAGTCTGAAAGACCGAGGGAAAAAACACAATCGGATTCCCATATAGAGAAGGATGCTTTTCAAATTCTGTTCTTTCAGAAGACGCCACTTCAGAAATGAAATGTATTTTTGTCGGTCTAGCTGTGAGCCATTGCAAAGGAGGAATCGGCTCCCAGGTACGGAAGTCAGTTTGGCGAGTTCGCAACCGTAGACAGGCAGCGGTGGGTAGTAACAAAATATAATTGGGGACGGGTCCGGCAATCCGTTACCTATAAAAGGGTCGAATATAACCCAGAACCGATGAGGCCACACTGTTTTTCCAATAATAAGATCACCAGTGCTGCTGCTGTCTTACGATTTGACATGGGAAAGTCAGAGACAGAAAAGGACAACTAAAATGATGCGCCGTGCGGGAGTTAAGGATCCGTCTGCATCAGTTAACTTCGTGAAACTCCTTGAAAATGGTCATCTCGAGAGAGGTGGAAAGCGACGATCCTCGAAGTCGTTGCAGCGTTGATGTTGGTAGACCACATAATGGCCTCCTCAGTTCATATGACCTCCTCAGAAACGAATGAATTACTTGATACGAAACGTAGAGCTTCTCACAAACCTGAGAACGAATACCAGAGTAGCATGGAAACAGCAATGTTGGAAGGTCATGGAGATAGTCAATAGTTTCGTCTGTTTTAGTAACAGGTTGGATTCAGAAGTTGAGCTTTTTCAAAGCATCATCTTTTCATTCAATAAATGAACGATCGGTTAGCAACTAATCCGCTTAAACAATGAGCAGTGAGGTGTAATCCTTCATGCCATCACAAATACATACAACTCACAGTCATTAAGACTTAGAAGGCAGAAGTTCAGTTCTGTCCGTTGGTTTCACTCAGTTTTGCTTTCTTTAATTAATATTTTGCTCCTTGAACCGCATCGCTGAAAGACACTGAAATGAATAATCATATCAGAGTTTTGACCAATCAAAAGGATGAAACAAAAAGATGAACTTGAAAAAGGTGAAGCTAATAACAGAATAAAGAATGCATAATAATTCACTAGCACGAAATCAAATTTATGCTACTCTAATCTTAATGAAATCTCTCTATTAAAAACCTAGGGATCCTTATAATGTCTGTTCAGTAAGTCTTAAATGTATTGCAAAATCGCTCCGACCATTCAGAAATTTCTCTATATTGAAATAGTGAATGGCTGTCATAGAGATGGAGGGCCTCTGGTCGTGGTTTTCACTGCTTTGTTTTTCGCGAGCAGGTCAAAGGTAGGTAAGTAGTCATCAGTACGCTCTGTCCAAGTCGAATCCATCCCTTCTGTTCGCACAGCCTTGAGAGGATCATTTCCTCTTCTAAATAACGCTTTAAAGAATTCAGAATTGCCAAAACATATTTTCAGGAACCTCATACTTTTGACGACAGATGGCGGATGTATTTCTCCACTCAAAGGAGATCAACTATGTTTCTATCTGAATGAAGGAGTATTTTTCTCACTTCCCACCATCATCTGCTGAACAGTTCTCAGATCGTCAGTGCGCTGTGCCCATCACTTCCCAGTCTCTGTACAAACGAAATGCGACATAGAAAAGCACTATACGCTTTTTTCAGAAATTATTCGAATTAGTTCCAAATCCTTCAAAATCCGTT